TCGAGCGAACCGCCGCCGCGTTGCTGGCCCTCTCAGTCGCGACGCGCTCGTCACGGGGTGCAGATCGTACGCCGTTCGTCGCTTCGACACCCTTCGCCGCGCGCAGCACGCGCTTCTCACGCGGACTATCGTCGCCGTACGTCGCGCGGCGTTCATCGCGTCCTGTATTCGTATCCGTACTATTCGTAACGCGCGATCTCGTCGTGAAAACCGTCACGTTGTCGTCGTGATCGTTGTCGTCGCGTTTCGAGGTGGTTGGTGGTGGGTGGTTTGACGGTGAAATCTGACTTTTTCTCTCGGACGACTCGCGCCTCGATACGATAGACGTTTCGGTGAGACTGAGATAAGTGTGACAGTAGTTAGAAACTGTTGAAAAAAATAAAAAAAGAGAGAGCGAGAGAGAGAGAGAGAGAAAATACAGCGAAAGGGATAGCAAAGATTAATAATTAAGTGTGCCGCGTGGTGCATTCAAGTAGGGACGTAATTACCCCCCTACCCCTTTATCAGGACTGTCCTGATCCCTCGAGAGATTCCCCGTCGTGTATGATGCTTCGTAGGGAGAGACAAGGCGAACTCTAATTTTTTTGGAAGCGGTGGGAGTGAATTCAGAGAGTACTCGAGTATATACATATATACATATACACGATATATTGTGAGCCACGTTTTCGGAGATAGGCTGAAACGATGTTCGACCGCGACGTCCCAATGGGACGATGACGCCCGCGTCGGTTCGCGTCTGACAGGTCCGCGCACGTTGCCACGAGGCGCGCGGATAAGGCTCTCGTACTCTTCCCGCGTAACTTCGCGCGGAAGGAATCTGAAGGTTTTGCGTGTGGCTGTGCATGTGTGTGTTGCAGATGCGGTCTCGTTGCTGATCCAATCAAGGTGAACGTTACCGAGAAGCAAAGGCGAGACGCACCACGAGGAGGCGACTGGAGGAAGAGACGAAAAGACGAGGAAAATCGGTGGAGAAAACGTAAAAGGAAAAACTCGCCTGACGCCGGTGACGTAGAGGAAGCCGAAGGCGTTCCTCTTCGAGAGAGACAAGACAAGCAGAAGCTGCATCACGTTCGATCATGACGCAACAAAGTGGAGCTGGGTCACCCCAGCAGTTCTGTCTGCGCTGGAACAATTATCAGACTAATCTGACCAACGTCTTCGATCAGCTCTTACAGAGCGAAAGTTTTGTGGACGTAACCCTGGCCTGTGACGGCCATAGCGTTAAGGCCCATAAAATGGTCCTGTCAGCCTGCAGCCCGTACTTTCAGGCGCTCTTCTTCGACAACCCCTGCCAGCATCCTATAGTCATCATGAAGGATATCAAGTGGCCGGAGCTCAAGGCCGCGGTCGAGTTCATGTACAAGGGCGAGATTAACGTCTCGCAGGAGCAGATTGGACCATTGCTCAAGGTCGCGGAGAGTCTCAAAATCCGCGGCCTCGCGGATGTCAACAGCGAGCAAGAGCTGACGTCCAGGCCGAGTCTGGAGGAGGTTGCGACCGCGGCGATGCAACGGAAGAAGCGTCGCCGGATATCCGGTGATCGCTCGCCATCCGGTAACAGTCCGGAACGTGTCGGCTCCGGCAGCATCGGCCCCGACGACGACGTCATCGGTAGTAACATCATCGTGCCAGAGATTCACAGCATGGTGCCGTCGACGGCCAGCTCAACCCCGAGGTCTCTCGGCTCGCCCAGCACGCCCAGTATCTCCGTCACGCCGCAGATCAACCTGCAGGAACTTCCGGTCTCGCTACCCTTACCGCCACCCCCGCCGCCACCACCGCAGGGACAGCAGAGCTCGCACCCCCTGCCGACCCACCACGTGCCCGGCCACGTGACTTCCGGTCCGCACGCGCCCGTCAACCACCTGGGCGCCCACAGCCAGCAGCTCAGCGTGCAACAGCAGCAGCAGCAGCAGCAACAACAGCAGCAGCAGCAGCAACAGCAGCATCATCAACAGGGCGCCGGCAATCAACCCGGCGCCGACGACCTCGAGATCAAACCTGGCATCGCGGAGATGATTCGGGAGGAGGAAAGGGTGAGTCGAGTTTTGTTTACCTATGATCGATCTGCTTCCTTTATCTTCTTCCCTATCCGCGTGGAGGATAGTTTATTACTTGAAAATTGATTGACGTTGCACTTCCGATAATAGATCAATGTCTCTATGCGAAAATTATTAAAGTAATGATTAATGCATTAGCATGCAGAACGCTATTGATAGCGTTAAAAAGTACCGAGTGAAAAAGTGACTTTCCGTAATTTACGAAAGAGTTAAATAAAATCTGTGTTAAAGGTTAAAAAGATTCGAATGCATAATCCTCGTTTTCTAAACGTGAGAGAAGCTTTTATGCATAATTGTTATATCACAGCAATACATTCATGCCTGTGTGTCTGTGAAAATGATTGCTGAATTAATCTTATCGACAAGAGTGATACTGTTCCTTACGATTAATCCTTTTTCTCGGGACGTACATTTGTCTTTGCACGCGTCAGTGCTAATATGTAATTTTCAATGCAAATTGAATTGAACAACAAGAATTCCGTAATTGCACGGAGTGTTGTAATTAGAAGATTTTTATGTTCACGATAACGTCGAATCACTCAGATATGTATTCCGATGAGCTGAATGTAACTTTCCTGTTTTTATCCCGGTAGAATATTACTTCTTATGCCGAAGATAAATTAGTAGAAATAATATGCAGGAAGAACAAAAAATCATCAGAATTATACTTGCTTGTTAACGAGAATAGGATAAAAACATCATTTCCGTCAGAAGTAACGTTAGATCTTCAAGAAATATATGCAAAAATGTATAAAAAGATTGATTAGTTTTCTGCGAGATAATAAATGTACTAGATGGAAAGTTCGAATAAACTCCAGATATATTAGAAATTTAAGAAGTTCATTTTTAATTTAAATCTCGATGCATTATCAAGCTGCTCTACAAGCCTAATTTTATTAGATGTTGATTGACGTTAAATAAACGAGCGAATAAATTTCTGCGTCGTAACTGGGAAATTCGCGCACGCGCATACATTTCAATTTATTCCAATATTGGATAGGATAAATACGAGTAAAAGAGAAATATTCCAATATTTGCCCAACATTTAGACATAATTTGGCAACGCGGGTGGGTCAATTAAAAGTTTCCTCCGCCGGTCAGAAACGCGCTACGGCCGCGAATTGAATAAGAAACGTCGACGTTTCTCTCCCGAGCGAACTACCGGGCGAACTTCTCTCTCTCTCTCTCTCTCGATCGAAACTTTCGCGCTTTCGGAGTGCGGTTAACCCGAAATAATCGCGCGCGGGAACGTAATTTTCCCGATAGAAAACAAAGATGTTTCTCTCGTTGACCGGTCGTTAACGAGAGCATGATGGGTTCGCGCCTCATGTCATTAGAGCGCGCGTTCGTCCTCGTCAAGGCAATCGACCACGATTGCCACGATCCTCGAGGAAGACAACGGCTGCTCTCCCGTATAATTGGCCGCTCTTTCGACGGAAAAGTCGCAAAGCAGACGCACTCGAGACGCGGGACGACCGCGTCAATTATACGAGACGCCGGACGAGTTTTCGCGCCGAAACCGGTCGCGCGAGAAGGGGTGGAAAAGCGGAAGGGGTGAAACGACGAGAGAGTCCCGCGCGCTTTTCCGCGGACGGAGGTGGAGGGCCATCCCAATTACCCGGCGATTGGCTTCGACGGTATGCGCTAATTGAGAGTATCAATGAACGTCAATGAGCGCAGTCAATATTTGGCCGGGGTGCATCCGGCCGAGCGTTTTGTAACGTTCTTTTTGTTAAAGCGGATGACAAATATTGACCGCGCTCGTTCGCGTTCGCGCGCGGACGTGACACAAACACTCGTGCACGTACGCACGCACGCACGCATGCACGCACGCACGCACGCATGCACGCACGCACGCACGCACGCACGCACTCATACACGCCCCCGCGCGCGCACGCCTGGGGTATCGACTGTTCTCGTTAATTACATCGGGACGACGGTGTCTCCTGCATTATTTATCGTCCGCTACCGGTGCAAGTTATTAAGCGTGCGGCTAGTTACAAGCCGTTTTGTAACTAGCACGACGATCACAGGACGTTGAGAGCAGGTCGTGCACCGACTTAGGCCGAACAGTTAACTTGGCTTGACAAAATATATTCTCTCTCCTCTCCCTCATCCTCTCTTTCTCTATGCTTTCAACAACGCTCGCGTTCATTCCCTACCGCGCGCGTGTAATTATGCCACTTATTGTACCAATAATACGATCGATGTATGGACTGCTCGCTATCTTGATTAAATTTAAAATTAAAGTGATCGTATACATATATTTCTCTTGTAAAAACTGTTGTCTAGAATTCCACAGTCGGAGATAATCAACACTCTGATGCATTATATTCAAGGTTTATCTTATCCAGATATGTATATATTACGTATATATTTTATAATTTACATCGACAGCTACGTTTTTACGTTGCTTATGTAACATAATCCGATAAGTGGGATAAAAGTCTTAATATATGAATATCTAACGTTACATGAGAATTCTGTATGAGAGTATCGAGTTCCAAAGCTAATCGGAAAGTTAAATAAGTTTAATTATTATCCTACTCGACGCCGAATGCATCCGCGATCGACGCAGCGGGATTTATTCGTTATATGGATCGGCGCCTTCACTCGGCGTGTCTTACTCGGCGTGCATCCAGAAAACGAACGTTCCAAGTAGCGGTGAAACTTAATTCGTGCGAGCACGTTTAAATTTTCATCCGGGGATTTTCGGGCGTAGATATCCGAAGAAGAGTGAAAATATCGGACGACGCACTGGAAGAAAAACTTGCACTTGAACGAAGGACACGCCGCGCCGTTTACGAGCGTTTACGCGCGGAAAAAGCACGGAGCAAGACTGACTCCGCGCCCGTCAGTTGAGTTCAATCTGGAAAATTAAAGTGAGCGACCAGCTCGCGCGGCATTATTTTTTTTTTTTTTTCTTTTCCTCTCTTCTCAGGGCGCACACGTCGCCGAGCCCCCGCCGCACACACCGTGACGTAATCCGCTATACGTATATAATGGTTATAACATTCCGCGGAATTCCATTATGTTAACGCAACCACGTTCCAATTCTCTGGGTATGCCTGCCTGACTGCCTGTGTGCCACGTATCGTAAATGCACGCCGTTGTAGTATCGCAACTATTCCGCAGTGCCTTTCCGATTAAAATACCTAATTGATGCGGGCGAGAGGAGCCAATGGCGGATCGCGGAATGCCAAGCCGCGAGAGTGCTGCCAAGCACCGTCGACATGGAATTTTTTTTTTTTCTTTACGGGACGAATAAGAGAAAGAAAGGCAAAAGAAGAGGGAGAATAATTATACAAGTAGATGAAATGAAATAAAATGTAATTATGCAGATTACAGTAAATGGACGGAATGCGTCGCTATTTCTAAGAAAGAGAGAGAGGGGGGGGGAGGGAGCGAGGGAGGGAGGGAGACAGAGAGGCTGAGGAACTTGTAGAAAAAGAGAAAGCGATGTTTTCATTTATATAAACAGTATATCGGTATTAACGTGAAAGTTCTTGGATTAATTTATTCAAGATAAAAAGAAATGCAAGTTATAAACCACGAAGGAAATGATGAAGTAAGTCAGGAGAAAAAGTGCGGGCGAATAGTGCACGAGATGCTCGTTAGATTACTGACTTAAGCGCCTGAGAGTTTTATTCTCCTTAAATCTAATTCTAATAACTTTATATTCTTCATTGAGGAACGAAATTCTCGAGCGTACGGCCGTTCCTGGTTTTGCGTTCGTCAAGAAGAGTTTCGTTGCCGAAGGTCGGTTTCTCGATGACGCAAGTCTTATCGCCAAAGTATACGAAGTGTTTTTTTGAAGTAGAGAAGATTATTTATACTTTTTGGAAAGAGATATTTCTCTTATATACGTATATACGTACATAAAGTACAGGGTTTAAAGTTCATTGTATATATAAACACGTCGATGATGAAATTACAAAAATTTTATCGAATCCTATGATTGAATTTCTAATGATAATATCCAATTCTTTATTGCGATGTATTTCAATGAATGTCGTGTTGACCAAAACGACCTCGTCTCTTCTCTCTTCAACGTGCGAAATTATAGTACGTGTGTAACAGATTTGTCGATTATTACGACTGGTATTTCACTACTAATAAGTTTCGATATCTTATTGGCTATATTTAATTCACAGACGCATTAACGTAAATAATGTAATGAAATATTGCCTCTCATCTAATTTATCTTTCCTAAAAGTAGCGCTCGAGATCTTCCGTATCTCGTTGAAAATTAGGGAATCAACAGGGAGCGTCCTCTGAGTTATGAATCGCCTGCCTCTGGCAAAAACCAGAGACAGTAATTATTTATACTTTGAACGGGCCCCGAGATTCAGAGAGGCCTCCAGACAACGTATACATAGTATTACGCGGTATAAATATAAATTATATTTCACCTGACGCGCGTGGGCCCGATGATGCGTCTTCTACGATCGCTTAATCGTGCTCTAATCGCATCGATTAATCGTGCATGTAATCGTTCACATACTAAAGAACAGGTTTTCGCGATTATTCACCATAAAAAAGTTTATTAAGTAGCGCGCGCGCAATTTAAGATTTTTAACTGATGGTGAAATATGCTGTTTTTATAATGAATATAGCGTTTAATAATTTGACACACTTGGTAAATAAGATTGAATCTCAATAAATTAATTCTGTCAGGCATATTTAAATAAAATTTTTTTAAGATACGAGAGCTTATTAAAAATTAAAAATAGGTAGACGGTTTAAAGATACAAGTTGGTAGATGGGATACTTTGAACAACACAAAAAAAATTTAATTTCAGTAATATTTTTTAATATTAGTGTATTATGTAAATTTATATCAGTTATATCCTTACGAGATAGAGGAATGTAAAAATAATGGGAACTTTAAGGGGATCCTAAAGCCATCTGTATTATCGACTAAATCATGTAATTTTTGTATAACAATGACTTTTTTCCTCTTTTACAAATTCGAA